TATATATATATATATATATATATATATAAGTTAATTAAAGAAGTACAATCTCATAATAATACACACATTTGTAGTTCGTTTCTACGAAATCAGTTACAACAAATTATACAAATGCAAAAATAAATTCTTACAATTTTCTTTTGCAAATTGTGTAGTTTAAATAATAGTGACTATATGTTATTGATGATTACATCGTTCTAAATGTTTATAGTTTCCCAAATCAGTTTTATTTATCTTATTTTCTTTTTTATTTTTATCATAAAATATGTTTTTAAATATAAAATTGGGATGCAGTGTAAATTGCCACACATGTCTATTAAACAGACTATGAGCTAACTTAATGTTTATATAATGTTACTTTATAATGTCAAATAGCTCTATTGAAGCTGAAGACAAATGTGCATATATGGGAAAACTCTTAAAAAACTATCTCATTACATATATATATGGGGCATTCCACGCCAAGTGGGCCACCCATTTTGCGAAGTTCCATGGATTTCGTTCATATTGCGTGAACTTGAACAGTTTGATGAATAAAGACTCTATGCCAAATAATATACCTGTAGGCCAACTGGTTACCGAACTGTAGAACCGTCAATTTTTGGGCTTTCTCGTTGCAGCGCTCTTTTCGCTTGTCGTTAGTGGGCATGAAAGGCAATTTTGAAAATAAAGTGCAGACGTATTCTTATAGAAAATTGAACGCTCTTTCACGTAAGAATATTCTTTTTTTGATCAGACCGGTTTACGATGATGTTTTTCAGTTTTGAACTTTTCAAAATGGCGGCGCGCCTAAAAGGCCGCTCTCAATTTTCTTTTAATATAGCTCAAAATGTAGCTCCAGGTCTCTACTTTGTTACTCTAAAAGGACTTAATGGCACACGCATTCGTTTGGGAGTAAGAGCTAGGAAAGTGAGGAAAATGAGTGGTGCGGCAGGGGGACAGAGCGACATTGACTCACTTTCCTAGCTCTTACTCCTAAACGAATGCGTGTGCCATTAAGTCCTTTTAGAGTAACAAAGTAGAGACCTGGAGCTACATTTTGAGCTATATTAAAAGAAAATTGAGAGCGGCCTTTTAGGCGCGCCGCCATTTTGAAAAGTTCAAAACTGAAAAACATCATCGTAAACCGGTCTGATCAAAAAAAGAATATTCTTACGTGAAAGAGCGTTCAATTTTCTATAAGAATACGTCTTCACTTTATTTTCAAAATTGCCTTTCATGCACACTAACGACAAGCGAAAAGAGCGCTGCGACGAGAAAGCCCAAAAATTGGGTGGCCCACTTGGCATGGAATGCCCCATATATATATTTGCATCTTACAGAACAACATAAAATAAATATATATATGCTTTCTTCTTAGTTTCCTCTCACGGAGATACTTGATAATATAATTTATTTAATTATTAATATATATATATATATATATATATTGAGTTGGAGGAAAAGTTCTTTTACATATATGTAATAGAATCTTTCCTCAACCCACAATTTGTTTTTTAAAAATGTTCCTACGATATTTGTTCCTGAGTTATTCGCGAAGTAAAGGAACTGATTTTGATTGCTCATAACTCCGTTAAAAATCCTTATATCGCAATTTAAAAAAAAACAGATTTTTAAAGCTGAAACTTTGATCTATTAAATGATATAATGGCAACGAAAATTTCGCAACAAATTTGGAATACTTTTGGGAATAGTACTTTTATTTTTTATATATATAAAAGGACTTTTTCTTCAATCCAATTATATGTATATATATGTATATATATATGTTATGACATGCTTTATATTTG